AAAAAAAAAAAAAAAAAAATTGCACAAAAACTAAAACCATCTAACAATAGGAAAATGGTAAGGCCCCTTATGAAACCATTTCGTCAGAATTTGTAACAGGTAGATCATCATGTAACTGTCAAATATAGTTGATCTGACAATTACAAACTCCAACGGAATGGTTCCGTACCAATACCGTAGCATCTTCCCTAGCAATAACCTGTTTGACAAAATTGTAAACCCGATTTTATTCTATTAGTAACTCCCTTTTTTTTGGTACAGGGACCTTCCGGTTTCCGGATCCACAGGGGAACCGACTAATCCGGAATCGAGTCGGGTAGGACCACAAAGGCGACAAAGCTCTCCCTCAAGAGTTTTAACACTGCTGCATTCTCAATTCTATTAGTAACTCTAGCCAATTGTATCATCTAAATTAAAACATTCCCATAATAAAGATTATTATACTCACACAAATTTACTTCCTCCATAATTTAAAAATAAAAATAAATATTATAGACACCAAAAACACAGCTTAATTTGTCAACAAAATTGTACGTCAAACTTTGAGCACTAATTAAAAATAACATAAATGAATCAGACAAGATCCAGCTGTTTGCTTCTGACTTTCAAAAACTTTGTAGGTCATAAAAAAATGATCTATAAATCGGCCCTGTGAGCAACATTTTGTCATACAGTATATCCTCACACACAAACACACAAATAACACATATATATTCTTAGAATAGAAGGCATGGCCATTACTATAATCACAAAAGCAATCTTGATTTTCTTGTTTGTTACAATAATATCGACCTCAACCACAGAGGCACAGGCACAGCCACCGAGCCGGCTGATCGGAATAATACACGTCAACGGGACATTATATTGTTCTACAAATGGAGCTAATAATTCCGGTGGCAATGGCAACACAACTCCATTTTTCCCTAGTAAGTCTCAAATTCATTCCATCCAAAATTGTACTCAAAATCCTCAAAATTTTCCTAACAAAAATTGCATTACATGTGCATAGATGCGACGGTGCAAGTTGCGTGCACGGTGGACGTGATAGCAAATTCACCGGAAAATGCGACAACGGATGGAAACGGTGCGTATCGGGTGGTCTTAATCCCACGTCCGAATGCCACCATAAGTTCGATAGTCTCCGATTGTCGAGTGTTTGTGCTGACGCCCCTTTCGAGCTGCAACCGGGCCCTGCCGTCGAGCGGGCTAGTTTCGGGCCTGCAGTTTGTGAGGACAGTCCCCAATTTATTCTGGTACATAACCTATATGGTTGCATCGGGTTTCGCACCCCAGGCTTAGGGGATAAAATGAATTCAATGTTTTGTATGAATAAAAAAAGAAAAGAAAAATGCTCGGTGTGAAATATGAACCATGGTGGCTAATTAGTAATTACATTACATGTGATGATCGAATTAGATAATTTTGAGGACGTTGTATGAACGAATAAAAATTGTTGAGTTTTTTTTGTTTTTTTTTAATCAAAATTTGGCAGGGTACATAATTCTCAAGGGTTTTACAGAATTTTTTTATTCCATTTACCACAATGAAATAAATTCTCAAATAACAAGTGAGATCAAATAACAAGACAACGATTACACTCAATCCCAAGCGGACGGCCCGCCCAACCCAATTTCATCAGCCCGCGACAGCTCAAGTGCAGCAGGATCGACAGCGGTGCGGTTTTTCTTCTTTTTCTTGATTGGATGAATTACCAAACCACTGGCCGCGTCTGTGTTTAGCTTGGTTTCGATCATGCTATATACGAAAAGATCCACGAAAGGAGTCTCTGAGTTGTCGATGGTGTTCGTTTTTTCTCCTACTGTTTTCTTGTCTGCGTTCTTAAAGGGTTGACTCTTGTCTTTCCTGTGCTTTGATAATTTCTTTGTGTCTTCAAGCTTTGGGTTTGGAGCATCTGATTCATTCGGTGCTGCGCTTTCATCGTGTTTTGACGTTGACTTTTTCATGGTTTGCGTCTCTGAGATTTTGGTTTTTTCTACAGAATCTGCACCTTCTTTGTCTTGCAGTTTTTTTCTTCTCTTCTTTCCTGAGCCGATATCTGCAGCATTATCGAATTGATTATAGATAGTTGTGGTGATGAAGTGTAGAAACTAATAAGAGATAACTACAATATAGCAAACACTGATAACCCAAGTTGTTCTATTTTTTATGATATATATATATATATATATATATGCAAATATATGATTTCACTTTAAATTTTTCGATTCATAAGAAAAGGATTTTAAAATCCACTGGTAGAGTTATTATAGTTACCTCCTTAAGATTAAAACAATATCAAAAGCCTCAAGGAGGTTTTCTGTAATTTTGAAACTTCTCTTGGTTTGTTACAAAATTTCGTAATTATGCCAATCATTAATCATTACCAGTCTCAACAGAGAAGTCATTTGCTTTTTCATCAATTTCTTTTCCGGCGATTTTGTCGACCGGCCTAGCATTGAAGATATGCAAATTCGGAAGCAGCTTCTTGACCTGATAAGGCAACATTCAGATTGTTATCATTTGGAAAGCTCGAAAGTGTACCACTCCTAACAAATAGTGCAGTTGTTAAAATGCTTACTTTCTTCAGTAAATTGTCCTTTTCGGCAATCGGATTTCCTTGTAGATTCAAATTTCTCAAATTAACCAACGATTGGAGCACCTGTCATGCAATTTCAAGACCAAGACTCATTGATAAAAACACATAATCCAAAAGAACATGGCTAAATACGATGATTGGAAAAAAACCTGTCACCTTTAGAGTTGACCAGTTTGTGATTAAGTTGTTTCCAATGTCAAGATTTTGAAGCTTCACGAGAGTACTGAACTCACTAGGAATAGTCTAAAAAAGAAAGGGACAAGAATTAGCAGTACAGTTCGGGATACTTTGTACAGTGCCAAACTGTAAGAATATGTCAAAAATTCCTTTAGACTATACCATGATCTCATTGTGAGCTAGGCGAAGCTCTTTTAACTCTAGGCAGGAATTGAGGGATGAATCAACTGTTCGGAGTTGGCAGTTAGAAAAAGAAAGCTGTAACATAAAATGGGGGAATAAGTCATCTTTGTAATCTAATCTTATTATTCACAGGCAACAAGGTGATGGTGGAGCATACTTTAGTTATTGATTTCAGTTTCACCAGAGAATCGCCTAGGGTAGTGATTGGATTCCTGGAAAGGACTGCATAGCTATGATTAGAGGAATCGAACAAGAAAATGCCAACTTGTAGGAACAGAGAAGGAGCACACATACAACAATATTAAGCCTTCATCTCGCTAAGTGAAACTAGCAATATCTACATGCAATATAACACACCATAATTTTTGTTATATGTAAACAACTAAACATTACCTAACTTCCTTAGTATTTTTTTTTTTTTTT